GTCTGCATTAAACTTATGGAACCACATCATGAATGTACCATTGGAGAAATACAACAAGATGAATTATTAACTTTCAGGCTCCCTATTTTTTTCATATATATTACTCCAACTCTCCACAGGGAATCTGAGTTTCAAGGAGTGAATGAAATAAATCCTGCATAGCTGTTACCTCTGTTAACAATGGCTTGGGGATAGACATCCATGGATCACAGGATGCCTCTTGCAGGGGCAGCAGCTTGTTTTCCTCAAGGCTTGTTTCTAGAAATGGATATGGAAAGGGAAAACAACTTACTCCTTTGTTTTTGATCAAAAGAGTGAGCAAATGTAAAATGTATCGGTATGTGTTCTTATATATTTGTGTCTCCTGGTTATTTCTTGCAAAACGTTCTATGTGGTGCTGGTCATTCATACATAGACTTGCAGTAGTGTTTCCCAAAGTGACTTTTAGGGAATTCTGCTTCTTTGAGATATTTCATGAGAGCATGCAGAGAGAGCTGCAGTCTATATCCCACCTCTAGAAACATCACCTTTCTCATTAGCAAATTAAAGGTCTTGGAAGTCCTTTCATTTAGCCCATTTCCCAAACTTCCTTGATCATGGAACCCATGTTGATTTTTTTCATGTACCCTCTTTAGAATTCAGGTTCCATGGAACACCCTTGGGAAGTCCTGGCTTATCCACCCTGGAGGGGAATTTTGGGTCACAGTGGCTCTCTACAGAACCTCATAAATGCAGGTCTAGCTGTGAGCCTGTCACCAAGGTGATCACCGACATCAGCAAATTCTCTTTTGTCACAATGTGACAGTATCTTTCAACTTCCCCTTACTCCTGAATGTCTAAAGAACTCTCCGTACATATTTGCCATCACCATGGTTGAGACCCAGATCTCTGCAGAGACAGTCTTGATCCTCCAGCTCCTGTTTCACACTGCCCATGTCACCCTCAGCGCTGAAATCCTTACCCCAAGCACTGGGAATTCAGGCCGTGGAAAATTTGGAGGCTCACAGCAGGTTGCTTTGCCCTTTTTCTCCCTATCCCCCTTTTGGCATTTTCTCCTGGGTCTCTCAGAGGCCATCTAATTCCTCTCTTTGTCATATGTATAGATTTTGGGAACTACTTTATTTCCTAAGCATGCACCTCAGAGGACTTACCCTTTACCCCCAGCGGCTTATCAGAGTATGTCTGTCAAACTAGTGAATGCTCCTCTAAGAAGAATTCTGATTACATTTCCAATGTCATTGTTATGGAAGCTATATCTACATAAAGTGGGAAGATACCAATAAGGGTTCTTGTTCCATGAATGTAAGCTCCCTTTTTATCTCTCTATTGGTCTAGAAATGTAGTAATCCACCTTGGTTGCAATAACAGCCTTGTGAGCAGCCTTCAAAATATAGATATCTGGACCTAAGTTTTGAGATTCTGATTCAAATGGTGGAGTCCATGCATCAATTTTTCTTAAGCACAAAGCAATTCTATTGTGTGCATATCAGAGTACAATATCACTGATTGAGAACGTGGAGTCAATGGAAGTAGAAAATGCCATTCATTATCAAATCACCATAAAGAAGAAACAAATATTTCCCTGATAATACACGTCATCACCCAAGTACCTACTCAGCTATTCTGATCACCAAGAGCTCTTCAGATACAGCTTTTCTTCTAGATGCTCAGAAAAGTGTGATATCTTAGTAATTTATTCCTGCTCCTGCCCATGGATCTCCAAGTTTGTGAGAATGGGAACATGAGGAATCTGTAGGCGTTTTACTGATGGATGTCTTGGTATGACGTTAAACTTGAAATTTACAGCTGGGGATGGATTTTCAGCCAGGTCCCTTGTGCCCAGTCAAGGGCATTGGTGACTGGCTTGCTACTTGCAGACAGTTGGTATAATGTGCCCATTTCAGAGGTGTGGGGAGGCAGAGTCTATCAGAGATTGTTGAAGGTAGCTGCAGTAATACCCGAAGTGAGGTGCTGAACAGGAGTGATAGGGGTCAAGGCAGCTCAGTAAGACAAGAGGGCAAGCAGTCCTACATCTTGTCCCTAACTCACTGTTCTGAACTGCCATCCCATCTTCCCACTTCTGCCTCAGGAGCAAGTTATCCTTCAAGATTCAGGACAAACGTCACTTCCTGATTGAAGCCTCCTCTCCCTCCTTGGTGTCTCCATACACTCTGCTTAGACTTCACATGATATCATGTGTTTTCCTACTAGATTCTGAACTCCCCAAGAGCAGCAACCCATATCTTAACTCTCTTTTCATCAACAAAGCCCAATATAATGCCTGGCACAGAGAGTGCCTCAATAAGTACATCTATGATGTAAATTTTCTAATAAAATGTCTATGGTATCTATTGTCTATTTCAGAATGAGTTCAAGAAATTCAATATCTCTTACAAATCTAGATGATTCACTTAAGAGAAAGAATGGCATTACCACGTTATTTGTCCACACAGACAATAAACCTCAAGCTCTGCTTTGACGATACAACAACGCTAACTCTTATCTCACTTGGGAATGATGACCAAATTGGGAAAATGATGACCAAATTGAAGGCCACTAAAAACGTGGTAGGGAAGAGAACCAGGTACAACATCATTTTGTTTAATCAGAACAAAGATGAAATCTCTTTATGCATAAAGATATTTCAGTGCCTATCCCCTGAAAGTGTTAAGCATTTTCTTAAAAAGAGATTAGTGGGCCAGGCGCGGTGGCTCAAGCCTGTAATCCCAGCACTTTGGGAGGCCGAGGAGGGTGGATCGAGGTCAAGAGATCGAGAGATAGCTAGACTGCTGACAAGGATTGCTGACTTGTACTATTTTATTTAAAAAAATTGAGAACTACAGGACAGAAGTGTAACTACAATGAAATCTGCTGTCCTTCTTCTAGTTTCAAAATTTAAGTAAATTTGTTGACCTAGAACCCAATAATTGAAAGGGAGGCTGAGTTTCCTTAAGGAATAACATTGCAATGCTATTGCAAATATATATATATATATATATACACACACACACACACACACACATACATGAAATATTCCTTATAATCCTTGCCCAAGGGGGCCTGTGCCCATTGATAGACTATTTTATACTGGGGAAAGGAAGTACACATAGTTGTTTTTGAGCACTGTTAAATATGGGATCTGAGCTTTCTGATGCTAATAGACTCAAAGCTTCATCACAGAATTCCAGTTAGAGTAGATATATGGAAGCTAGGTGATAAATTAAATGTTAGCTCCAGTTTATCTCAGTTATTTTTCTAGTCTTCAAGTACACAGTTATTTTGAGCATCTGGCAGAATCCTCCCATTTTTTCTCCAACTTGTAGATTAAGAGCCATTATGCAAGGACTATGTGGAAACCCCTGAACTTTCTGCAATTCCTTCTGCTCTTACACATACACACCTGCACACACACACACACACACACACACACACCCCTACCTATGTACACATTCATGCCCTACATGGTGAGAAGCAATCTGCATCCCAAAAGGAATTACACAGATTTTCACTACCATTAAAGATGTAAAGGATGAAGGTGTGGTGTTCTCATCATATCCTTATTTAGTTGGTTTATCTGTATCTTGAAAAAAACATATGGGTCATGGCAGACAAAATGTGGTTACCTTTAATGAAAAAGATCAACACAGTCTTTGGCATTTTATATGCAGCTCCTAATCTTGAAAACACTTTTTTTTTTTTTTTGAAGTCAGGGATAGGCAAACTATAGCTCATAGGCCAAATATGACCACAGACTACAAAAGCAGAGTTGAATAATTACAACAGAACCATGTGGCTAAAAATATTATTGAATGACCCTTTACAGAAAATGTTTGTTGACTAGATTTCCATTGGCAAAAATGATTAAAAGAAATTTGTCTTTACATTTAGAGGGACAACTCTGCATACTCCCTGTTTCACTGTTTTGTTAACTCTCCTGTTCCCTGGCATAATATAATAGGTAGGGATTTCCATCATCTTGACCTTCTGCAAAACCTCACAGTATCAGACTTCTCTGCTGTATTGATGATGCCATGTTTATTGGAAATGTTACTACCCTAGGTGACCCAGTAAGATACATACATACCAGAGGGTAAGATATAAACCCAATGAATATTTAGGTTCCCATGATATTGGTCAACTTAGAAGATATCCAGCAACCCAGAATATATTAGGACATTCTTCCAAAGAAGTAAACACATTTCTCTACTTGCAACTCTTACCACTGAGATAGAGGTACAGTGCTTGGTGAGCCTTTTTGAATTTTGGTTGAAGAGCAGACTGCATTTGAAAATACTGCTTTGGTCTGTATTCTGGGAGATATAGAAGTTTTGCCTGGGCCACAGTTAACAGAAGGCTCTGCAGGAGCCTTCTGCAGAGCCAGACTATTGGACCATCACACTCAATAGATCTAATCATGATAGAGCTCTCCATGATGAAGGAACTGTAGGAAATAAGAATCTCCTTCAAAGATGATAAAGAGTTATCTGGCTTTTGCAGACTGCCATTTCTTTTGCAGCTCCTGGCATGCTACTGGATATCTGTAGAGATTGAATGCCTGGTTATCACATCACAAGACAGCAAGTGTGAGCTGTTTCTGAGTCCATTTAGTGTTGCTATAAAGGAATACCTGAGGCTGAGTAATTTATAAAAAAAAGAAGTTTATTTAGCTCACTGTTGTGCAGACTGTACAAGAAGCATGATGCCAGCTTCTGTTTCTGAAGAAGGGCCCAGATTACTTCCACTTATGGTGGAAGGCTAAAGGGATCCAGCATGTGCAGAGATCACAGGGCAAGAGAGGAAATGAAAGAGAGAGAGAGAGAGAGAGAGAGAGAGAGAGAGAGAGAGGAGGTGCCAGATTCTTTTTTTTAAGCTCTGGAGGTTTATTACTAAACCCAAACCCGTGTTACTTTGAAGAATCTTTACATATTTACATAATACACTGTACATCTTATGCATGCCTGTTTATGCTACTTTTAAGAAGAGAATATTGTTTTAAACTATTAATAAACCAAAATTAATTGATAGGGCTGCATCAATCTGTCTTCCTTCCTTGGTCCATGATTTCCTTAAATGATGGTGTCATGTTCATCTATGGTTCTATACCGAATGCCTCTTCTTGAGTAGTACATTTTGCATCCAATGTAAAGAATAGATAAAACTCCCAGCATTAATACAATACCACCAACAAAGCTCCCAGTATCAAATCTGGATCCTTTCTTTGCTTCAGAATGCATAGTTGCTGTAATTGTTACTGATGAAGAAACAGATGTCACTGAACTATTGTGGGCTATGGTCATGGTGGATGTTGCTATAAGAGATGTGTTCTGTGAAACACTTGTTTTGGGTGTAGACTTGAAGGTGGCAGTCGTATTTGTTGAGACCATCCTTGGTGTTGTCGTATTAGCTGCTGCTGTGGGTTTCATGGTGGTGACTGTCTTATTGCTGGGGACTGAGGCAGCTGGAGTTGGTAGTTTCTTTCTTTCTTTCTTTCTTTCTTTCTTTTTTTTTTTAAAGTTTCTTAATAACTTTATTGCAGGGAAAAATAATGCATTGTATTTAATCATTTTTTTCCAAAGTCAATAATATTTTGCAATGTACTACTTCTGTATAACAGCATTTCTCATACTTCACAATGTGTTTATCTTGTAACTTCTCGCTAGCTTCACAGACATTTTCTGGTTAGGGAAAGTTCCTGGGTCATTGGAAAACAAAGTAACCAGCACTGTACATTCTATGTACAGAAAACCTTGAGATACGGCTCTACGATCCTGTGCATTTTTGTTTAAAAGGAGAATCTGAGGCTGGTAGTTTCATAGTGCTGTTGGAAGTTTCATTTGCATGGTCAGAAGGCACGTGTTGGAGAGTCTCTGTTGAGTTAGCACTAGAGTTGTGTGGAGGCACAGAATTCTCTATGTTTGCAGATGCGGCCGAGGTTGCGCTGTACTCCATCCAGGGCGGTCCCCAGCAGCGCCAGCACCTGCAGCGTCCCCAGGAGCAGCGCGGCCCACGTACCTCGCGCGCCGAGTCCCATTGTTCCAAGGGCAGGATGCCGCGGCCTCGTGGGTTCCCAGCCGAGAAGGCAGCAGCGACAGCGGCTCCTCTGCAGAGCCGGCTCCACGCCCCCTCAGGCGGCGCACGTCTCCCCTCCAGCCGCTTGTCCCCCGAATGACCAAATAGGGCGCAGGAGCTGGGCCTGGAGGGGGCGTCGAGTGCGCAGCCAGAGCTGCAAGGCCCGGCGGGGTGGCGGTGGCGCGGGGGCGGGCTCGGGGTTGTGGGCTTGGCGACGGGCGCCCGGCCTCCCTCGCAGGCGCACGCCTGGGAACCCCAGAAGCCACTTCCTTTCTTTTCAGAAATGGCAGTTGTTGTCCTGGATGAAGGCGATCGCCGCTGCCTCTCCGAAAGCTGAGCACGCAGGCTTCGTGGTGCCCAGAAGGAAGTCTTTGAAGAGTAGTTTTGCCCCCAGGGAGGTTACGGGTGCCTGCGGCTCAGAGAGAGAGGGTGGAGCTGCAGGGCGGGGGGCGGCAGGACGGGGAGGTCCTGGAGAGGAACTTCAGTGGATGTGATTCACTCTTAAGGAGTCCTGGGTGGTTGGAGCTTCCCCCGCGTGTGACCCAGCCTAAGGGGGAAGTGGAGATTCTTTTTAACAACCAGCTCTCATAGAAACCAAAAAAGCAAGAATTCACTCACTACTGACAGAATGGTATCAAGCTATTCATGTGGGATCCACTCCTTATAATCCAAACACTTCCCACTTGGGCCCACCTCCAACATTTTAAATCAGATTTCAAGATGACATTTGATAGGAGCAGATATCTGAACTAGAGCAAGCTGTGTATTATTAGATTTGCTAAATCATAGATTGGGTTAGCACAGCAGCAATCCATTGTATAATGGAATGTTGTGTCTGGAAATGGGCCTGAGACAGGTCCAAAAGGCAAGAGTAAATTGCGTGAAGAGTGACACAAATTTGCATGTCATCTGCTTCTATTGCTCTGATATCTTTTATCTCATCTTTCACTTATGGTTTTAGGGGATTCCCTATGACCAACTGATAGAAGACTGAAAAAACCTCAGGCCTGGCTCACAAGTGTGTCAACAGATGCTGGTCAAAAATACACTGCTGACATATTACAGATCCACTTAGTGGTATCTCTAGAGAGCAGTGATAAAAGTAAATTAGCCAGCCAGGAAAGTGGTGATCAGTAAATTTGATCATCCACTTTGCATGAATGAACTGGTGAGGAGTCTAGAAGGAACCAAATTAGAAAACCGAGGAATGATGAATAGTGAGGTCACAGGAAGAGGCGTATAGATTGACCTATAACAATGAACAAAAATTTTGCAGCTGTTACTACCTGCCAGAGAACATTCACCACCAGGTCTCTCAGTAACCAGTGGGGAAGGCTAATTCATCATGTATGTCACTTTATCTCTCTCTCATCGATTGCTTCTATGCTGGACAGTGGTCTCAAGAAAAGAGTGGTTGCATGGCAGAGATAAAGGTTTACATGAACTCCTTCTAGTCTAGCTAATGATACTCTTGAATGCTTAATTCATCAACAGCAGAGATTGAGGAGATCAGCCAGCCTCTTGGTATCAGGTGGATTACAATTAGACACCTTCTACCCTGGGGGGCTGGGGAGGACAAAAATTTGTCTTTATAGGAATTGATCCTTAATGTGACTATACCCTGGGTTTGCCCTCTTTGTCTGTAGTACCTCCACTGGCTTACCATCCAAAAGTTTTTAGAATACTTGACTTATCAACATATTGCACACAACATTGCCACACACCAAGGGAATTCTTTTATAAGAGGCAAGGTAATGAGTGCATGAAATAGGATCTAATAATTGTTCCTTGTACCCCATCACCCAGAAGCAGCCATCCTAAGAGAATGGTAGAAATCGTATTAAAGGTTCATTAAGATTCGAGCTTGGGGACAACATGTAGCAGGATTGAATGTGGTCTTCCAGGATACCGTATATACATTAAGCCAGTGACCAATATATGGTTCTGAATCCCAGCAGCTCGGTTATGTAAAACTGGGAACCAAGTGATTATAGAATCTGTGTTTACCATCTTGCAACTTTAGCATCTATTGGATTATAAATCTTAATTGTGATTGTGAATGGGAAAGATAATAATTCTGCCAGAAAAAATGTATGGGTCCCTGAATTTGAAGCTGAAGATATCAATTGAACTCTTCATTATTATGGGCCAGCAGGGAAGAAAAAACACATCATTAACAGTAATAGCCCATGACTCTCCTGAAGAACTGAAGTTGCTGTTCCCAGTGAAGACAAGAAGAAGCACATCTGGAACCCAAGGATTTCACAGGGGCATCTCCTGGTGCTCCCAGGTCCAACGATAACAGATTTATACATAGTTGTATTGTACCTACATAATTGTATGGTCAAAAGTTGATGCATAGTTGTATTGTAACAACTATGGCCCAACAAGGATAAGGCAAAAAAAGGTTCAGGCCCCTCAAGGATGAAGGTCTGTGTCATCACACCAGGACACCAAAACAGATAGCTAATGTGCTGGCCCATGGTGCAGGAAATATAGAATTTCTGGAAGAGATTGGAGATAAATATTAATTATGACTTCAGATGCAGGTCCAGCTATGGAACAGAAGTTTGTCTTACTTATCCTTAACCAGACTCTGGTGAAACATCCCCTGGAAGGAGACCTTGTGACAGATTGAACTAGTGCTTCCCCTCTTGTAGAATAGATAAGGACAACTTATTCTCACAGAAATGGGGACCTCTATTGTAGAATGCAATTTGGATATAATGATGGAGGAATGTGCCCTGAATAGTGCAGGAGGTGGACTGTATTATGCACCTTTTATATACTAGTTTATAGGCTTTGGCTCACTGATTTCATTCAAGCTGCTGCTGAGACCTCTTGTTCTTAGGGTATATTCTGATTGCTTGCATGCAAGAGCAACCTGACATTATTGCAACTTCTCAACTCCTTCCACAGGGCCATCCTGATGATACTTACATAAGACGCTTATTACACTCAAATATGTGTAATATGGACATGCAGGAGGTTCATACTCTGTGAGACAAACCTTTGACCAATTGGAGGTGCAGCCAATGGTTAAATTCTTCACTTTATTTTCTCCATGATGAAATTATACAACTTCTCAGAAGATGGTCCTATGGGATTGAGCAATCAGTCAAACCTAGGAGCAGTTAGGCCTATACTGCATCCTTACATTACTCTCCCTCTTTCTCTATTCCATTCCCTTTATCGTCACTCCTGTTCCCTGGGATTGTACAATCTAATTCAGGCTGGGATATTATCCCACCTTCCAATCTGATCCACTTGTGGCCCTCTCTGTTCCCAGCATCAAATAGCTCTCTACTTCTCATTTTGCCTCCCTTCAACTATCTTGGACACTGAGTCAAAAGTAATCTTCCCAAAGCATAAATTGGATCATGTCATTCACCTACTTAAAACTTTTTCGTGGCTGCTTATTGACCTTAATATAAAAGTCTAAGTTATTTATCCCAGTCGAGAGACTCTGTAAGATTTAACTTGTTTCTTTTCAGCCTTTATCTTCTGTCACTTCCTCCCTCACAGTCAGCTTCAATAACACTGAACTACTTTGGCTTTCCTAAAATGGAGCCTGTCCTTCACATGCCCTGACCCTGAAATGACTGCTCACACTTGATTAATGCCCACTTAGCTTTTTAGGTCTCAGAGGCAAGTGTCCTGGGATATTTTCCTGGACCTTTCCAAGACTGAGCTAGTAGTGAACACCTTATCCAGCCTTCTTACTTAACTCTTACTTTAGCACTCGCTACTTTGAAATTTTTGTCTCTGGATCCTCTGTCAGACTTAAGGCTTCCCAATTCTCCTAGCATCTAGTAAAAATTAAGCATTTGACAAAAATTCATTGCAAGAATGTCTAGATGAATTGGTTTTCTTTTCTTCCTATTAACTTGTTCACCATTGTTTATAATATTATTAAAAAGATGAGTGTACATTTTTTCTCATGTATTTTTCCAACGTACTTAAAAAGTAAAATGAAATGGCACATGAACAGTATGAAACTGACTAGGAACTTTCTCAGGCACAGATTACATCATTAGGCTAAAACTCATATAGTCAGCATTAGGAAAAATAGATTAAATTCCATATATATATTCACAATCATTTATTATATTCATATTCCTTTTACATTTTTGTATTTTTGAAATCCCGTGTCATATTTTTATCACAATACTATATCACAAAGCTGAACACACCTCCTCTTGAACATTTATCACTAGTGGCCTTGAATCTTATGTGATATCATAATAATTAGAATTTCTACTTCATAATGACTGATAGAGAAAAGCAACCTCAGCTGTAAAAACAGAGTCCCGGGGGAATCCTGATAGCCTTTTTCCCAAGAAAGCAAAATCCATTTGCAATAATATGTGTGTATGCAAAGACCTCCTGAAATTGCAGGAACAAAACTCTTTCTGCATTTCTACCTCATTAAGATCTGTTCCTCAACAGTGATCAGTCGGATTTTACTGTAAGAAGGAAGAAAACAAGGAGCCTGCTGGAGCAACATGGAAACAGGCTATATATATGGTGGTTATGGCCACAGACATTTGGTTCAAATTCTTGTTCTGCTTTTAGCCTCTCTAGCTTTCAGTCTCTTCGAGTTTAATGGGAAAAATAACATCTACTTCATAACATTGTAGGGAAATTAAGTAAAATATCATATGTGGAGTTCTCAGCACATTGTATTCTCTCAACACACCCATGGCAGCTATCACTGATGAGTTCCCAGAAACCTGGAACAATAAGGAAATCTATTAAAAGAGCTGTAGGAACCAGCATCTTCAGGGAGGGATGGGGGTCAAGGAGCCAGAAGGAGGTGAGAGAGGATGAAGAAAGAGTGATCATTTTCTCTAAAGTAGTTTTTTATTAAACTTTAGCAGCTTCCAATCTCAGATTCAGAACCCTAGGCAATGACCTAGTAGTCAGTAAGGCAGGAATAAATTGTGATAAGCTGGTTCTATT